CACTTGAGATTAAAAGTCTTTCCATATGCGAACTATTAAAGATTTGGAAAGATTGCTTGTCAATTATGCCTTTAGTTTGAGAAAACATAACCCGGTGAAAAGTTTCTCGGGAATGGGCCAATGTGCTACTAGTTCCCTTGAAACATTACTCTGTCTAAGGAGTTGGTTATTTTTAATGAGGCTCCGTCCCAACCAACTTTCCTGGGAGTATACTTGGAATTGTTTATCATATTGTTGCATAATTGTTTTTTTTTTTTAGGCTTTAAAGTTGATGCCTAAGATATTAAGAAAATAGTCTAGTGATCTTATAATTTTGATTAATTAAGTAATAGCCACGGTATCTTTGATTAATTGAAATTTTGTGAGATCACATACAGTCATAGACGTATTGATTGTGATTAATTATATGATATAATAAAATTTAGCCCACAGGCAATTTTGTTATGTTTATATGATTAATTAGGGTAAAAACACCAAACTATGATCATAATTTAGCCCACAGGCAATTATGCATCGGAATATAGTTTTGGTGAGTTTTATCATTACAGATAGGAAAGCCAATTTATTTAACATATGGTTTTAATATAAATAAATTTGCGTCTTCTATCATAAAGTTATGATATATGTACATATTCAAAAGTATTTTTATGTGTACATTTTGTGGTATTAGTCTAGTTTCTTTTATGTGTATTTATTATGTATGGAAGAAATTTGGATTAATAGCTTGGTACATTAATATTCTTTTGTGTATAAATATCAAGTGATCAATACAATTTCATAACTGAAATTATTAAGTTATTTTGATCACTTTGTGACTAATTACATAAAGTATAATAAAATCTACCCACAGGAATTTTATTATATTAATGTAAATAGTCAAGATAAAATATTAAATCATATTTCTTAATTTACCCACAAGGATTAAGAAAAGGAACATGGTTTGATAGTTTTTTCATAAAGTTGTAGATGAATCTAATTGAATAAAACTTCAGCCCACATGCAAGTTTTATGTCACTAGATTCTTCTATCCCCTTTGATAATAATTTTATCATAAAGTTTTAGTTGAGTCTAATCGAACAAAACTTTAGCCCACAGGCAAGTTTTGTGTCACTAGATTCTTCTATTTGATTATCATAAAGTCTCAGTTGAGTCTAATTGAATAAATCTTTAGCCTACAGGCAAGTTTTATGTCACTAGATTCTTCTGTTTAAATTGATGATCAAAATAAAATTTTATCATACTAATTTTAGAATTTATAACTTTAAGGCTAGTTATAATTCTATGTCACATGGGTTGCATTGGCAACACATGTATTTTGTTAAACTCCAAAACTTTAGTAACTTGAAATTGTTACTGTATGTGGCTTACTTGATTTTTCAGCCCAACCACAATAAAGCTTTTGGATTTGGACTTGATATACTTTTGGATCCTTATATTGGAATTGTACATATCTAACCAAATTTCAACTAAAGCAATTTAATTTGTTTAAATAGTTGGAAATTGTGTTTGTTACATGTACATATTTAACATGTCCAACTATGGTGGGGAATTATAATCTTTGTTAAATTAGTTGGACTTGAGGATCATTAGTGTGTATATCATCTATGCTCAAGAATAACTTTATTAGTGGGAGTAATGGTTTGATCAGTGGGAGTGATCATTTAAAAGATCAATAAGATGTCCCATTTGATCAGTGGGAGTGATCATTTGGAAAGATCATTAAAGATGTCTCACTTCAAGATTGCTCCACTTCAAGGATAAGACACCTTGCCTTGTTATTATAAAATTAATAGTTCAATTTGTTGAACTAGCTACAAGTTGTGCAACATATTTCTGAAAATGTTGTAACAACATTAATAGTTTTTATTATAACAATGACATTAAGTTTATGGTGAACTATCACGAGTTAGATTCTTTAGCATTTATTGGAGTCTTTCGTCTCATCAAATTGATCCTGGGCCATTAAGATTTAAAAGGTTCAAGATTCAATGTTGAGAGACATAAAGCATGCAAAGACTCATGATGTTGGTTCATATAGATGAATCTTGAGGATTTTTTGTTTTTATGATGATACAATGTTTTTTGTTGTTTCATAAAGTTACATTAATAAATCCTCGGTATTGCTCTATGACATGAAAGTTGGGCTTCCCTCCTTTGTTTTGGAGATCATTTATAAGGTGTATGTTTAAAGTTCTGTTTGTGGGCTTAGACTCATGAATTTGTTATCTAAGTCGTTGGAATATGGACTACTCAATTATTATCTTTGGCTAAGATTAATGAGAGTAAGAGTGACAGACGTGTCAACTCTGAAAAAAATTTTAGGGATCATACATGGTACGTAGAACTTATTATGTGACTATATTGTACGTACATTTATGTTGTCACTTCTATGTAATAATTTGGATGATTTCTCATATGGTTATGCGCATATTTATTTGAGAAACATCCCTAAGCTTGGACCAAGAATAAACGTAGGGTTTATTCATAAAGGACCTGAGTTGGGAATCAAAATGCATGTGATGCATAGATGGTATTACTCACACTTTAATTTAGAGGACATACCACTATGATTCATGTTTTTTGATCTTCAACAAAGGTTGTGTCAATACTTGCACCAAGTGGAAAATTATAACATTTTCCATTAATATTGTACAAATGAAGTTGTGCAAGTTTATTAGGCCAAATTTAGCCATTGGGGCAATAATTAGTTTTTGATAACTAATTATAATCAAGAATGAGCATAAGGTTTATTCATTAAGTTTTATACCACATAAGGTACTTAGAGAAGAAGTTACATTGTAATCATAAGTGGATACTACTCTAAATTAAGAGGAACTATCTCTATGGTTCATGTTTTTTGATTCTTTGAGTTAATACTTGCACCAAGTGGGAGAATGTAACATTTTCCATTATGTCACCATTAAGTGGTGCAAGTTAATAGGCCATTTATGGCCATTATGTTGTGGTTTGAAACGGAAGTAACGGTTTCCGTTACTTAACCTATAATGATGGCACGTAGGTTATATATATGTGTATGGTCCTCCCACTGCTCCTGTGACTTGACACTACACCATCTAGTTGTACAGGAGACCAAGTGGTAGACAAAATCCTAAAATTCTTTACTGTTATTCAAACAATGCAACGAAGATTACAACTATGGCTAGAGATGCTTGATCATATGCTTCCGCTATTGAGGTTAGATTATATGAAACGTCTATTTCATTTGTATATTTCTAACATTTTATACATGAAGTACATTATATTTATGCATAATGTACATTATGTTTATTGAACATTCATTATTTTTATGAATAAGGTTCACTATTTGTATGGATATGGTTTATTATTTGAGGATGTACATACTGATTGAAGTTCTAGGTTCATTTTTTGTGGTTCATGATGTTCTTTGTTTCTTGAATATTTTATTTCATTGTACAGTATAGTTGGACGTACTTATTCGGCACACCCCTTTACCTATACTTAAAAATATGATATTTAGCAAATCTATGTTCACTATTTGTATACATAATATTCATTACTTGTATGCATGGAGTTCACTATTTGTGTGAATTTTTTTTATCCATGATCCATAGTAAAAATTGCCATCAATAGGTTTCCACATTTAACAACATACATGATACACCAACCACAATCCGCATTACAAGATAAACCATTGATAAATGTTCATTTTTTAATGTATTAAAAATAAACATACAAAACGATAAACATTTAATACACTATAAAAGTTGTGAATTTATGATGGTCTAGTGGTTTAAGGCGCTAAACACAAGTTTAGGTCCTTGTGTGAGGGTGTGGGTTCAAATCCCACTTTTGACAATAATAACATAAAACTTCAAAAAGTAAGCAAAGATTTAGCTTCATAATAATATATGGTCTTGGAATCCCAAGTAATTTATATGTAAAAATATTTTACTTACACTTTAAGAAAGTTTAATTTGAAATCTTTTGTAATTAAAAATAGTTTGAAAGTTTATTTGACTGTTCTTCTATGACTTTTTTTTATGTCAGGAGGTTTTAAATGTTGTCTATTCAATAAAATTTGTAATTAATTTTTTTTTTTAAATACAATAGGAATATGGTATTTAAAAGGGCAAATTAGGCAGCTACAGTTGGAACAAGTGGAACGAAAGAAGACGGAGCAATGAGTTAATACAATCTTAAGTACTCCGAGTATAGTGGTTTTACCACGTTTAGTCTAAAACATTGGAATTGACTATTTGTGGTCCTTCGAATTTCAAATTTAACCATTCGTGGTCCAAGTTAACCACCCCTAGTCCTTCAAATTTCACAATTTAACCACCCGTGATCCTCTGTCGCAATTTCTCACGGAGCAATGGATTACTCCATATAAATTTAGGCGTTACCTAGTGCTGGTGAATCCATCAAAGCCCCACGAGTCTTGCATGTGACGTCAACGTGGCCCCATATACATAGGCGAGATGCTTATTATGTGAACTACGATCTAAAGGACATTATTTTTATATATGAAGTACATTATTTTTATGCATAATGTATATTATGTTTATTGAACATTCATTATTTTTATTCATAAGGTTCACTATTTGTATGGATATGGTTTATTATTTGAGGATGTACATACTGATTGAAGTTCTAGGTTCATTTTTGTGGTACATGATGTTCTTTGTTTCTTGAATATTATATTTCATTGTAGAGTATAGCTGGACGTACTTATTCGGCATACCCCTTTACCAAAATATGATATTTAGCAAATCTATGTTCACTATTTGTATACATAATATTCATTACTTCTTTACATGAAGTTCACTATTTGTGTGAATTTTTTTTTGCATGATCCACAGTAAAAATGGCCATCAACAGGTTTCCACATTTAACAACATACATGATATACCAACCACAATTCGCATTACAAGATAAACCATTGATCAATGTTATTTTTTAATGTATTAATAATAAACATTCAAAACGATGAACATTTAATACACTATAAAAGTTGTGAAGTCATGATGGCCGAGTGGTTTAAGGCGCTATACTAAAGTTTTGGTGTGAGGGCGTGGGTTCAAATCCCACTTCTGACATAATAACATAAAACTACATAAAGTAAGCAAAGATTTAGCTTAATAATAATATATATGGTCATGGAATCGCAAGTAATTTATATGTAAAAATGTTCTACCTACACTTTAAGAAAGTTTAATATGAAGTCTTTTGTAATTAATAATTGTTTGAAAGTTTATTTGACTGTTCTTCTATCGCAAGTAATTTATATGTAAAAATGTTCTACTTACACTTTAAGAAAGTTTAATATGAAATCTTTTTTAATTAAAAATAGTTTGAAAGTTTATTTGACTGTTCTTCTATGAATTTTTTTTAATGTCAGGAGGTTTTAAATGTTGTGCCAAACTGTGGCCGAGGCGTGCCTCGGTCAGGCTGTGTCCGAGGCGGGCGCCTCGGCCATCCGAGTCGAGTCACGTCTCGGCCAACCTGTGGCCGGGGCGTGCGACTCCTTCCTTTTTTTTTTTTGAAACAACATGGGCGGACCACAAGCACGAGATATTATTTCAAAAGATTTCAGAATGCAAAGCGGGCGGACCGCGATTACGAAACACTTGTCCCAAACGACTACTAGAATATTGAGGAAAATACTTAATCAAATGTTCCTAGCTCCATACCCGATCGATTATCCTTACAGATGGTGTGGACTTATGGACCATTTCTGCCAATCTTTTTGCATGGTTTAACGTAACAACTGCGGGCTGCTCGCTGGTCTCCTCTGACGACCCCTATCCCGCTCAAAGTGGGGAACTTCATACACAAGTGTTCCACCGACACTATGCCTTGAGGTTCTCCAGTGCCGGTCTCCCTAATATGATGTTGTGCGCACAAGTGAATCTTACCACGATGAATTCCAAGTCAAGTTTGCGAATGTTAGGGCTCGTGCCTATCTCCACTGGTAAGACCACTGACCCCTCCGTCTCCACTGAATCACCCGCAAATCCAGAGAGTGGGGTACGTACTTCTTTGAGCTGGTTCCTAAGTATCCCTAACTTGGTGAAGGCATCATAATACATCACATTGACTGAGCTTCCCGTGTCGACTATGATGCGGCGGACAATGACATCGTTGACATCCATCTCAATTACCAGGGCGTCACGATGGGGTAACGGGCCCTCTGGGAGGTCATCACCAGAGAAGGTGATGGCCTCCTGTCTCTGTTTCTTTTCTCTGGGAAAACTCGCCACTTCTCCCACGTATAGCCGCCGGTTCCACTTCTTTCTTTCCGCGGGCGTGTCGCCCCCTGCAGGTCCACCATAGATAAAGTGTATGGTGTGCTTCTTTTGTCGTCTAGGCGCCACCTCGGTTTCTTTCTTGCTATCACTCTGCTCTGATATTTGGTCGTGTTCTCTTTTTTTCAAGGTGGACGGCTCGGTGACATCCTCATTTCTCTAGACATTTTTTTGTGGTGGATTTTTTGATGGATCGCGCTGCGGCTGCTGCTGCTGCTTGGATCGCTTGACAAAATGCCGGAAGTAGCCCTGCTGGATGAGTTCTTCTATTTGTCTCTTCAGCACGTTACATTCATCCGTGTCGTGCCCAGGTTGCCTATGGAACCTGCAATACTTTGTTTGGTCTCCTTTTGGGGAGACCTTCATGTATTCTGGTGGGAACTCGACTATTCCCATCTCCTCAGCCTGTTTTAGGATGACACTAACGAGATGGGTAAGTGGAGTTAGGTTACGCAAGGGAACCAGGCGAGGCCGTTCATGGTCCCGGCCTTTCCCTGCGGCCGGGTGGTTCGAACGTGGCGCTTGGCTGGGCGGACCCGCTTTCCCAGGTTTCCCATTTTTCCTGCCATCCTCATCATCTTTCTTCTTCCTGTCGACGTCCTCCGCTTCGGCATAGCGGCTAGCCATCCTCATCAAATCTTCGTAAGAACGGGGGTGGTGGGCGTTCAGCTGCTTGTGAAAATACCCCGATCTCAAGGCGTGGATGAATATTGGGATCGCCGCCTTGGAGTCGAAGTCGTAGACATTGTTGACTTCCTTTTTCCACTTGATCAGGAAGTCTTTGAGGCTCTCGCCTCTATCTTGCTTTACCACACAAAGGTGAGAGAACGGTTTCATACGCTGTATGCTACCCGAGAAGTACGTCAGGAAGCTTTTAGACAACTCTCCAAAGTTTTGGATCGACCCGTCTGGGATGGTGTTGAACCAATCTTGGGCCGTTCCATCTAAGGTGGACAAGAATGCTCGGCACATGATGGCGTCCCCTGCCCCAATCATTACCATAGCAGCCTTGTACCTAGTCATGTAAACACGTGGGTCAATGGCTCCCATGTACGCCTTGATGGCGGGTAACCTGAAGTCCCTCGGCAGAGGTACGTCCATGATGCTTGGGGAGAACGGTGCTGCCATTCGTACCTCGGGTTCCGGCGACTGCTCCCGTGCCTCCACCCTTCTTGCTAACTCTTCGATCCTTCTCTGTAGCCTTTCGACCAGGGCTGATTCGTCAGGGTGCCGGCGCGGGGTCGGCTGCCGCTCCTCCATGTGTGGGGCTAGTTTGAGTGTCGACGCGGAGCTGGTTCCTCGACATTTCGTCCATCCAAGTGTCGATGTGGAACCCGCTCACCAACGCGTCGTTCGCTCGCTGAGTGCCGACGCGGAGCCGGCTCATCGACACGTCGCTCCGCCGAGTGCCGACGCGGGGCCGGTTCATCGAAGCGTCGCTCTTCCGAGTGTCGACGCGAGGCCGACTCATCACCGTGGCGGCGCGGGGCCGGCTCACGAGACTCGCCCATCCTTTCTATGGGCGATCTCTCCGCTTCTCTTTCCTCGTGTCGGCGAGGGCCTCTAGCGGAGGACCCCTCGGCACGCGACTCCGGCCCCTGCCGAGCGGGCGCCCCGTGTCCCAACCGCCTAGGTTGCCGTCCGGTCGGTCCGCTTCTCAAGGTGCCCTCTCCCGAACCCCCGGTCCTAGTGCGTCGCCCTACGACCCTCGCGGAACGAGTTGCGTCCTGGGCATCCACCCTTCGTGGAGATTCTACTTCTATTTCCTGAGGCCGCGGCGGGGGCACTTGGCCTTGTAGTCCCACCGCCACTTGGTTTAGTGCCGCTGCCACCGCTTGCTGGATGGTCGCCTGGAGGATCACGACTTGGTTCGCCCCTCCATTGTGGAGCTGGTCTCGGAGGTCCCCTCCATTGTTGAGTTGGTCTCGGAGGTTTCCTCCATTGTTGAGTTGGTCTCGAAGGTCCCCGAGCCTCCCGTTGCTGAGCCGTTCTAGGAGGTCCCCTCCGCGATTGTTGGTGAGTTGGTCCCGGAGGTCACCTGAGGCATTGCCATTGTTCACGTTGCGGGAACCATGGGAGCTGCGGGACACCATTCTTTCAAGTTTGCTGTTGAAAGAGGAATGAGTTGTGTGTGTCGTAGCCTGCTTGAGTATTGGACTCAGGCTCTCAATGAAAGCACCAATGATGGTAATAATGTTACCGGAAATATAATATAAGAGTAACGAATAAGAAAGTGACAATAGTTGTATTGCCTTAGTTCCAGTATGGAAAAATACAGTGTGTCTTTGTCTAGTGAGGAGAGCCCCATTTATACTTAGAGTCCTAACGGTAACAACATGGGACATAAATGGGGAGCCTAGCCCTTAATTCTCTCTCATCAATGGGGCTTCAATGCTGGCTTCAATGACAGTAAGGTGACACCTGTTGGGATTCCTAACCGTTGGAGTTCTACCCGTTGGGTTCCCAAGCGATGCTGAGCCAGATGCCCATTTATGATCCGGGTCGGGTGCCAGACCTATTATCCTGTCACATGGAGTTCACTATTTGTGTGAATTTTTTTTATGCATGATCCGCAGTAAAAATTGCCATCAATAGGTTTCCACATTTAACAACATACAGGATACACCAACCACAATCCGCATTACAAGATAAACCATTGATAAATTTTCATTTTTTAATGTATTAAAAATAAACATTCAAAATGATAAACATTTAATACACTATAAAAGTTATGAAGTTAAAATGGTTGAGTGGTTTAAGGCGCTAGACACAAGTTTTGGTCCTTGTGTGAGGGCGTGGGTTCAAATCCCACTTTTGCCATAATAACATAAAACTACAAAAAGTAAGCAAAGATTTAGCTTCATAATAATATATGGTCAAGGAATCGCAAGTAATTTATATGTAAAAATATTTTACTTACACTTTAAGAAAGTTTAATATGAAATCTTTTGTAATTAAAAATAGTTTGAAAGTTTATTTGACTGTTCTTCTATGACTTTTTTTTTATGTCAGGAGGTTTTAAATGTTGTCTATTCAATAAAATTTGTAATTAATTTTTTTTTAAATACAATAGGAATATGGTATTTAAAAGGGCAAATTAGGCAGCTACAGTTGGAACAAGTGGAACAAAAGAAGACGGAGCAATGAGTTAATACAATCTTAAGTACTCCGATTATAGTGGTTTTACCACGTTTAGTCAAAAACTTTGGAATTGACTATTTGTGGTTCTTCGAATTTCAAATTTAACCATTCGTGGTCCAAGTTAACCACCCCTAGTCCTTCAAATTTCACAATTTAACCACCCGTGATCCTCTGTCGCAATTTCTCACGGAGCAATGGATTACTCCATATGAATTTAGGCGTTACCTAGTGCTGGTGAATCCATCAAAGCCCCACGAGTCTTGCATGTGACGTCAACGTGGCCCCATATACATAGGCCATGCTTATTAGGTGAACTACGATCAAAAGGAAATTATTTTTATTCATGAAGTACATTATTTTTATGCATAATGTACATTATGTTTATTGAACATTCATTATTTTTAGGCATAAGGTTCACTATTTGTATGGAGATGGTTTATTATTTGAGGATGTACATAATGATTGAAGTTCTAGGTTCATTTTTGTGGTACATGATGTTCTTTATTTCTTGAATATTTTATTATATTGTAGAGTATAGCTGGACGTACTTATTCGGCACACACCTTTACCTTTACTTTATAATATGATATTTAGCAAATCTATGTTCACTATTTTTATACATAATATTCATTACTTGTATGCATGGAGTT